TATAATCATAACATGTACTACCCGAATGATCCGGTATTGTAAAATTGTTTTTTTATACGTTGCACACCGTGTGAAAATCAGTCGTAATAACATCAACGTTCTTACCTGTAGTATACAACACTAAATTATAAGATAAAATCGTATGATTTTTGTTTACGTATACTGTTATAACACAGCGATTATTTCTATTTACAGAATATTTCAATTTTGTTAGATAATTTAGCGTTAGCGTACGTACGTACATAAAGTTAAAGGCGTCTATAAATTAATAATACAGAAACAGAAATTACGTAGATATTTGTAATCCGAACCTTATTTCATAAATATATAGAATAATATAATGGCGATTAAGATGCAACAATGAGAAGCGAGTTTTAAGAAAGTGTATAAAAATTTCTTGATCCGAAACAAAGTATTCTCACTGAATATATTTAGTATAGTATAAAATTAATTCAATAATACTGTATTTGCCAATTTCGATTGTTGAGAGAATGAATATACGTACGTACAGTACGTATCACTTATCTATGATTAATTACCAAAAATCCGGAAAATAAGCACTTATTGACGGGAATAAATTGGATAATTTATTTCCACTAACGCTAATTTGATATTGAAATAAATGGGGTAGAGGGTATAGTGCATATTTTCCGAGCTTTAGGGTATACAATTATTTATTTTATTTAAGAAACATATATTGTATATATTTATTTGTGAAATCATCAAACATAATGTTTGCACGCTAAATTTTTTAAGCAGAACTCAATCTAGATTATACCGATACGGTTGTTTTACTAATACTAACGGACATTTTAAGATATGTAATCAATAATAGAAAATACCCGGTACTAACAATGATATAATTAAGATTGACATAATTACTACACAACCCGGTTATGATTATATTTGAAATCTTAAAGATAAAAAAACCGGTATACAAGCAAGTTTATTAGGAAATGCTAGATAAATCACACCACATTTTTATTTTTGATAATGTACGTAATTACCAACTAGATCAGTTATAATCAGATTACATCAAAAGTTAGACCAATAATCACATACAATATACAAATATAGAACACTTAAAGACCACACTCTTCGTGAAATTTCTAATATCTGAAATTTCCAATATCTGTGAAATTTCCATTCCTGATATGACCACAGCATTCCTTAACGATGTGTCTGATGATTTTAAAAAATTATACGAAACTAAAGAAGGTCATGATGCTATTATCGTTGCTGGAAAAGAACCAAACATTAAAGAATTTCAAGTCCATTCTTTGATCCTTCGTACTAGATCTTCTTATTTCCGTTGTGCATTTTCTGCTAATTGGGCTGAAAAAAACGAAGATGGTCATTTAGTTTTGAAAAAGCCTAATATTAATGTATTAGTCTTCGAAATTATTCTTAAGTAAGTAATCAATTATTAAAATTTTATAATAACCATTTAGGATTTTAATTCTATATACATTCAATTAGATATCTGTATTGTGGAATAGTAGATTTTCAAGGTCAAAAAAACGAAATAATCTTAGAACTCTTAATTGCAGCTGATGAACTTGGAGCTCAAAGACTAATTGACCCTGTTCAAGAATTTTTAACTAAAAATTGTTACCAGTTTTTACGTTCAGATCCCATTAAAATGCTTGACCTTGTTATCTGTCATAATGCATTCGGTAATCTCAAAAGTGTTTATTTA